ATATAATTTAAAAGCAGGTACAATCAGCCTACACGGAGAGAGTTAGAGCACTTTTTTGCACTTATTCTTTCCAGGGAAGAGACGGGGCTGGAGGTGCTGAGAACACTGGTCTTGTGGGCCTGCGTATGTTGAGACTCATTCTTTTCACTCAAGTGAGCAGGGCCCTTAGGATAGGTGAACTTTTCTATATGAGTGTTTTTCTTAAATTAAAGGTTTGAGAACTCAGAATGGAGCTAGACAAGAATGAAACCTTGTTTTCAGGGTAGGGCTTAGTAAGTGAATTGGGGTTATGCAGACATATGTATGTTATGTAGTCAATAGTGTTTAAAGTTGAGGGAAAGCGCAAAAGAGGAAAAGAAAGTAATGGAGAGGGGAGGTGTCCCTGGGGTGCAAAATCCCATCAAAACCTTCCTCTCCTACTACTCTCACTTTTACCCCACTCATTTGCTGCCTAGAAGTTCCTTACTTCCAGGAATAAACTGTGTCCACCAGACTGTTCCCCAGTATTCACAGATAAATCAGGACTCAGTCAACAGCATTACAAATTTGCTGCTTAGAAATACATTGTATAAGAGGTGATGGGAAATTTAGATCCAATGTTAACTTAGTAGGTTCCAAAACATGTTAAAATCGAGTCCTTCCAGAGGAAGGCTTCAGGAAGGTACTGTATTGAAGTTTCATCTCTGCTGACTTATCCAAAAAAGGAAACTCTTGTCGCAGCTTAGAAGCAGGACTGACTGTGCTGGGAACTTCAGGTGTGTGCTATGACCTGGATAGCAGGGAAGCTCTGGAACAGGCAGCAAAAGGCCCAGGGCACTCTCCCCGTCTTTCTCCTTTACCTTTTGCCAAAACAAAAGACATTTGCAATATGGAACAAACAGTGCCGGTACCTGGTGTCCTCAGTAGGAAGTCAGAGTGGTCCAGTGTTTCTTGGGCTTCCAAAGTATGCCAGACATTGTGGGCTCCAGGAGAGCCATGGACTTGGACGTCCAGTGGGGATTTCAGAGTTGAATTGGTAGAGTGAAGTGTAGGGTGTTGAATAGAGACTTTTCCCCAAGGAGCTGGAACTTAATGGAAATATTACCCCATCTGAGGCTGTTTCCAGGAGATGGATGGTATACCTGTCTGGTTACCGGAAGCTGTACTTCTTAACCTGCCACCTATATGGCTGTGACATTGACCTTCCAACTCCTAGGGTTAGATTTGATAATCTTCTGGGGGGCAGGAAAAACCCTATTAATAATTTTCTCCTTTCTGTTGTGGGCTGAATTGTGTCCCCCCCCCCAAATTAATAATCTTAATTCCATTACTTTGTTATGAGTTTATTTGAAGACTGGATCTTCAGTGAGGTAATTAAATTAAACTGAGTTTATTAGGGTTCTAATCCAATAAGACTAATATTTTTTCAAGAAAAATAAATTTGGATGTTGATACAGACAGGGTAGAAAAATATGCAGATAGAGGATGGAGAGAGGCACAGTAAATTGAGAGAAATCTCAGAAGAAACCCTGCTAAGACCTTGATCTTGGACTTGGAGTTACCAGACTGAGAAAATGACTTTCTGTGGTGGAAGCCACCCAGCCTCCGATACTTGGCTATGGCTGCCCAGGCTTCACTTCTCTCCATGCTCATATGCCTCCTCTGTGCCGACTGCCTCCTGATCCCATCCTATACCAGACTAATAAGATTTGCTCCTTTTCTGCTCCCAGGCATTTTCCAGTCCCATCTGTTATTCTTGCCCTTGTCGTACAAGTTCCCACCCTGCTCTTTACTGTGGCCCTCAGGAGCTACACTTCCGTTTCTTCTCTTTCCATACCCAACACAGGAAAGCAGCTTGTCCAGTTGCCAAGACTGCTGGTTCCTTCTCAGCGCAGCCCTCATCTGGCAGGCAGTGTGGTGCTGCATCCTTCTGGGTACGAGGGGTAAGAGCCAGTGAGGGAGACTGAAGCATGTTAGAAGATCACAAGACACTGAGGCCCTTCTCCTTTCTCTTACTACCCCCTCCAAGAATCTCCCATGGGTTGAGATCGATTGTTAAGGCCCAAAGAAGGGGAAATTTGACTATATTCTCAGATATTGCTCCTATGAAATAGTAAAACAGATGGAGGACTGTCCAATTTGGGAAGAAGGCCAGAATCGAGAGGGATCTTTCTAGGCATAGATTTTTCCAAGTAATCTAGGAAACAGGAAAAACTGATTGGGAGCATGTCCATGAGCTGGGGTATGGCACACCCATGCTAGGAAGCAGGTTTGGGGACTTCTTTTTGCACTGAGACAGTGGATTTCTTATGTTCAAATTAGGATGGGGAGGGGGGAAGGGTGCAGAATTGTTTGACCAGGTGGGACAGTCTCACCTTTTCCTTCCTGTATGAATCTACTTGATTATTCCCTGAATGCGCTCTTTCATTCCTTTTATGCAATAATGCTAACAAAACTAGCATTTACATACCCCTTTGTCTTTTTAAGGAAAGTGGGTATTTAGATCTTTAGGCTCCGATGGGATTAACATGCTGAATCTCAATACATCCAGGCAGTTTAATCTAGATAAAGACAAACAGTTTGGACTTACCTCAGTGCACATCTGATTCAAAGGGGCGAGGACACTACAGCTGGCAGAAGACAGCAGTGCCAAAATGAAGCAGCTGATGTGAGGAGCCATCACAAGACAGATGCCACCCCAACCTGGCGGGTCTGGCTGATGCCTAGAGCTGTCCTCAAATTGAGCTCTGATGGCCTCCACAATTCTGGAGCCAGAGGTGGTTGGAGTAGTAACCTCGGAACAAGAAATGCTATTTTCTGTTTCAGCTTTTGTTTGCTCTGTACTGCAAAAAGGGAAGTCCCTTTTGCATACCACCCATCCTGCCAAAAATAGTACAGGACCCAGCCCCTGAGTGGTCTAGTGTTTCCTGGCAAATATGAATCAGTCTGCAGCCCTCTTGGACTTGGGCACACAAACATTCGATGTGATAGTTCTCATTGACTTTAGGCCAGTGTTAAGCATTCAGCCAACAAGACAGCATCCAGGCCCTTTTCACAAGAGAGACTGTGGAAACAGAAAGCTGTCCTCACAAAGGAGGCCATGTTGTCATGAGTGACCAGGAGAGATGCATGTTGGAAGGGCAGAGCACTTGGTGGAGGGCAGATAGAAGGACTGAACCCTACAATGGCACCCCTAGAAGGGGAATTCAGTTGCTCCTTCACCAATGCAAGGTACAGGAGGGTCACAAATCCATCCCTTGACCTGCTGGTTCAGGCCTGCTAAAGTAAGTAGGGTGGAATCCTTTCTGGTTCCTTCCAGCCTGCCATGGAAACAGGAGATAGATGCTGCTATATATACAGCAATCTGGCTAAGAGGACAGAGGTAGGGATGCCAAACCTCATTTTTCTAATAATCAATTTGGAGGAAGGATAGCAGTTACTCTCATTATGATGCAAGATGAGGCATTGATTAAAGAAAGGCAAAGCTCAAGCTTTAGCCTACTAAGAAGTAGGCTAAATTCAGCTACTCAGACATTGACTGTTCTGAGCCTTTTAGCACATGGGGGATACTTAGTATCTGAGTCCACAATGACTTGTGACACTACCACTATTATCAGTTCTGTATCACCACTGCTAGAACAGTGATTCTAGCTGTCATTTAGTGAGCACTTAACTAGTGTTCAGATACTGGACCTGGCCTTACTTATATAAATATTTAACACATTGTTTAACAAAAAACACTATCATTCCTTGTCTTTACAGATGTAAAGATGTTTAGACAGCCTAAGTGACCTTTCACACAATTTAAAGTGGTGGATGTACTTGCCACTGTGTGAGGATTCTACAAATACTTAGACTTTTCTCGTCACCTTTAATATGCCATTTGAAGATGCTTTTGGCAAAACAGTTTAAACACACCTGAACCAATGACATACCACCTTGCTTTAAAGGTATGCACCATGGTGAAATGGGAAGAATTGTGTACTGGAAGAGTCTTGTTGAGATCCACCTTTAGTCAACTGAATGAACATGGGTGAGTCAGTTAACATCTCTGTGTCTCTTTCCTCATCTGAGAAATAGAATAGGAATCCCAATTTCTGTCTTTTCTATTTCAAAGGGTAATTATAAGGATCAAACGGGATCATATACATGAAAATGTTTTCTTAACCTTAAGTTTCTACATAATATGAAAAATGTGTGGCTATTCCTCTGAGTAACAAATTCCAATGTCATGTAAATATCACTCTCAGAAATTGTCTCCTGCCTCAGAGACTTTGAAAACGCACATTACTTTCCTCCTTAAAGAAAGGTTTGATGACTCAGTTAAGGCCATGAGATTTTGTTATTTTCTGAGACCACACTATCTGCATCTGATTTGCATATGTTTGCATAATGAATTCAAAAGATTCACAGTAAGTGTATAAGAGTAAAAGAAAATAAATGAATATGAGTGACCTTCTGCCACAGCATTCAAATCAAATATTCAGGGCATAATACTCTGAAAGATGAAATAGATTAAAATTTAAACTATTGCAAACAAGTGGGAAGATAGTTTTTAGCGTTTGAAGGCAAGAATGGAACACTTATTTGGTGCCAGGTTGTAAAGAATCTCGAACTCTTAAAGGTCACTCCATTCACATGATTTTCATGCCTGATTTCTCTCTTCCAAAACTCTGATGCTACCCCTTTCTGAAAAAGATATACACACATTATCTTCCAGATTGTTTGGAAATGCCTTGGGTGACAGTAAACTTACTACCCCCCAACAATTATTTTGGAGAATTTGGACAGTTTGAGATTTTATCTTGTACTAGATTGCTAGGAAACTTTCCTCCAGCTTCTCCACAATGGCCCTTGTTTTCTTGGACCAATAAAACAAGTTAAACCCTTTTGTACATGCCATACCTTTGGTATTTGAAAAGAGTTACTCTGTCCTTAATCATTTCCTTTCTTAGTTAAAGTTTGGTCACATGCTCATTATATTCTTTAACTGTTTATTGTCTAAATATCCCAGGAAATGTACTGATTTGAATTCTAGTCCTGGCCTTGCCACTAATTAGTTGTGTGTCACTAAGAGAGTCTTTCTGTGTCTTAACTTCCTCATCTATAAAATGGAGTAGTTGGCTCATTTATCTAAAAGTATATTATGTAAGATCCAATTACTCTAGTTCAAAACAGTGATTTACATTTCACATATAATGGCCATTGACTTGAAACAATAATATGGAGTTATACTTGCTTTTTGTTGGTAATCACTCTTCTTACTCCAGGTGATCTTACCATTTGTTGGCAAGCATAGACCCAGAGGGTTGTTTAAAACAATGGGCATCATGATTACTGGCCCCATTCAGTCTAAGAACTATTCCTTGCAGAGATACAGAGAAGGAGAGATGAAGAAGATGAGAAAAGCAGCCTGAAACTCATTTATTTTTACTGACCAGCAGCCATGTCAGCAGGGGAAATAACAGATATGTCGACTCCAGAAATTTTCATAACTTCTCCTTATATTAGATATTCACATAAAAATCCTAACCATCCTCGGTGGTGGCGTTATTCCAATAGGTCCCCAAGCATTTCATCGCTTAAGGCAACTGCCACCCCAGGGCTGACCCCAGAGAGCTGCTCTCATAATATCTGAGAACCGTCATTTCCCCATGTTTCCACCAGATGACAGCTGGACGATGACGTTGGGTCCTCAGATATTGCCCTGGCTCTGCAAGCTCTTCCGTAGCAGTCACCCAGAGCCCAACTTACTCTCTTCACAGATTGTACAAACCATGCTTTGGTGATCCAGCTTTAGCAAAGAACTAGATGTTTAATTTCCATTATAGTTTATGGGTCTCAGTTGGTGTTAAACCACCTTTCTTCCCTCTTCTGTATATGTAGTTTCGGTTCTGCTTTTGGGTTATGCTTGCCTTCCTCTCCACCCCCAATAGGTTACAACTACTTGCAGCTAAAATTCTCCTTCGAATTGAATATTCTAATATATTTATTCACAGTTATACTCATCATCATTATATTTCTGCACCTGGAGAGGGTGCAGAAGATTGCTGTCCTCATGTCCTGCCTGATTTTGAACTCTGTGTTAAGTCCTGTGTTTGATCCTGCTATTCCTGAATGCATTTTATTATTATTATTATTATTATTATTATTATTATTATTATTATTATTATTGATGGCACAGTTGCCAATACCACCACCTACAAAGCAGACCTAGTATAGGACATGGCCACCTTCCCTCCTCACAAAAAAAATATGCCAGGCTTTTCCACAACCTCAGAGCCCAAGTCTTCATGGCTTCTAAACTCAGGGAAAGGGGGAGATCTTCCTTTCTAGATCCAAGGTCAGTTTGCATTTCCAGCCCAGTTTTGGCCTCTTCATAAGATGATGGATATTGGAAATATCCACTCCCTGGAGTCTGTGTTACAATGACTTAAAAAGCTGTCTGACATTGGGACATGTCCCCAAATCTGTGGTCATTCGGTTATACATATGTGGCTCTGGAAATATGTGTAACATTATTAGAGTATTTGTCAAGTTAACTTCTAATTGACCCTAAGCTCAGTGTTCTCCAGTAACTTCTCTTTTCTGGTGTATTTTATAAAGCGAGTCATGTTGAAAGTATGCTTAGGGTTTTTCTCACAAGCTTTAAGCGAGTATGACATTAACAGGCAGAAGGGTATGGGGACTAGAGAGTGGGACTGGGAATTGGGGTTCTGAGAAATAAAGTGGTCCTAGTAGTACTACATTAAAATCAGAAGTTTTAAAGCTAAAAATAAATTTTAAAATAATCCATCCAGGGCCCTCCCTAGTGGCACAGCGGGTTAAAGCACAGCACCAAGAAGCTTAAGCCACATCCCCATGAGTTCGATTCTCAGCCTGCCCCAGAGGAGATCCACATTGTGAGGCAGACAGCTTTCCTGGCCCGCCTGCTGCTCCCCTCAGCAGTGTACTTCCTCGATCTGCCTGTTCTGCTCCCCACTCTGTCACTGGTGAATCCTCTCACCCTCTGCATCTCTGGCCTGTACCCCAGTTATGTATGAATAAATAAATAAATATTAAAAAAATCCACTCCAAAAAAACAGCATACATTTGACATTCCCAGGAGTTGAGATTAACATATTATTATTAAACTATTACTTTTAATCCTTCTGGACCATTTTTCACTTTCTCTCTCTTGCCAGACCTTTTCCTCTGAGCATATAGCATTAGATTGAATTCCCATAGCCTTTACAGAGGAGAACAGAAGGAAAGCTTTCTCAAGCCAGTAAGAGGTAGAAGGCAGTGTCACAAATGGCAATGTGGCATCCCCCTTCATTTCAGCGCATGTCAGACCACCCATTGTCACGGCTGGATGCATTTGTTGTGGGCATGATGATGGCCACACGAGGCAGCCCGTGTTCATTTCTCTGCTCCATGTGCAGATCTGACATCCACATGTGAGTAGCATTCAGAGTAAGAGGGAGGTCAGTGGCTTCATCTTCAGATCGAGCTGCCTGCGTAACCTTGGATGAGCCTCTCAGACTCTCAACATCTATTTTTTTTTAAAATAATTTTTGAAAGATTTATCTATGAATGCATACAGAACTGGGGTACAGGCCAGAGGTGCAGGGGCGGTGAGAGGATTCACCAGAGACAGAGTGGGGAGCAGAACAGGCAGATCTACTGAACTACAGTGCT